CTTGGTGTTGGCCTTGGCGAACTCCAGCCGCAGCGTCTGGGGGATCTCGGGGTCGAAGCGGATGCCCTGCAGGAGGGGACAGGGCACAGCGGGTGGGCGAGCAACGCCAGCAGCCCCACGGCAAAAATAACCCCCCATTATTATTTTTTTTTCAGCTTCCAGCATTGAAATGAGCTAATTTGCTGGGCCCCGCAGCGGCTCGCATTCCTCCGGCATCTTTAGCATCGGCACCATATTTGGCAGTCGGTATCCTGCGCGGCCGAGCTCTTATCCAGAGGGATTAGTGGAGCCAAAAAAAAAAAAAAAGGTTTTACATTGACAACGAAGACAAGTAAAAAAAAAAAAAGAAAACATGATGGAAAAAACTCGGGGAGGAATTAGAGAACCGACTCCACGCGGTTCTCCCCGTGATGGTTTTGGGGAGGTTAGCTCCGCAGAGGTAGGAGGGAGCTGCTAGAGGAAAGCAAAATTTGCTTTTTCTTTCTTTTTTCAGTGACTCATATCGAAGGGCCTGATCCTTGGGGGGTCCAAGCCCTGCCGGACACCCTGGGGAAGGCAGGAGGGATGCAGCCCCCCGGGATGGGGATGCAGGTGGGAAACGGCCGATCCATGGGCAACGGCTGGAGGGATGGGAGAGAGGCACGGCCCTGGGATGGAGGAATTTGGAGACGTCTGGGGACAGGGGAACAGAGCGGGGGGGTTTCTCCAGGACGCGCGGGCGGGCGCACTTACGTTCAGCGCGTTCTTGGCTGCCTCCGCCTCGGAGCGGCTGTCGAAGCTGACAAAGCCCACGGGCTGGGGAGGAAGGAGACGAGGCAGGCGTCAGGGGAGGGGGCACAGCAGGGGAACCCCCACCTTGGGGACCAGTGGGGAGGGTGGGAGTAGGGCGTGGGGAGGGGGTCACCGGGGATGCTCACCCCGCTTTGAGCAGCTCCTACCTGCTTGGAGGTGAGTTTGATGAGAGATCCTTCGTACCCCTGCAGGGAGAGAATAAATAAGGGTGGTTTGGG